CAGCCTAGGGTGTGGTTTCATTTTTTGACTCAATCTGAATTGTTCATTTTCTAAGGATTTTATTTCACTTTCATGTAGTGCTGTTGCAAATGTTTGTTCAGCTTCTGTATTGTAATTTCAAAAAGTCTAAAGTCTGTTTGGGCTGCTGTAATGCAAATACCATAAATCTGGGTGGCTTACACAACATTTATTTCTCACAGTTCTAAGAGGCTGGGAAGTCCAAGATCAAGGTGCTAGCAGATTGGTTGCCTGGTCAGTGACTGCTTCCTGGTTCATAGAGGGCTGTTTTCCAGCTGTGTCCTCACATGGGGGAAAAGAAAGCGGAAGTAAGCTCTGGTTAGGGTTAGGGTTAGGATGAGGGCACTACCCTTATGACTTCACCTAATCCTGTTTACCCCTTAAAGGCCCTACTTCCTAATACTACCACACTGCAGGGATGGGTAAGGTTTTGACATCAATTTTGAGGGGGACACAGATATTCAGTCCCTAACATAGTCTGAGTTTTCTTTTTATGTCTTTTCTTGGTAGTCTGCCTCACCACTGCCATCCAGACAAGTCTGGTGTTTTTGTTTTTGAAAAAAATTTTACCTTTATTTCTCTTCAAATAAAGGTTTTTGTTTAGATTGTTGGAGCTCTGTTCCAGACTGTTAGCACACATAATTATTATTTCTATATTATGTAGAAGGATTTTTAGAAGGTGCCAAAATTGAGTGACAAGTTGGTCTAACATTTCAAAGTCCTATTGATCTTTTTATACTGAATAGTGCTCTTACATTTTGAGCACCTACTATGGACCAGGCATTGCACATGCTATCTCATTTAATCTGTAGATTATTTCTAGGAGATGAGTATTGCATTTCCTATTTTCATGTGAAGAAATCAAGTCTCAAAAGGCCTAGGAAATGCCAACTTCAAACAGTAGGGCATTTGAACCATAGTCTTTCTACTTTCTGCTCTTCCCTTTCTTCACATCCCTTCTACATCTTTAGGGAAGAAATGCAAGCTGGTTATCATCTGTATGTTTTTGTTGATGAATCCAAGGAAAGGGTTGGAAGTGAGACTTCTCTAAGTAGAGTTTACTTTTGACTTTTGAACTATGTAAATGTTTTTTTTTCTCTGAAGACTAAAATCAGCAGGAAAGAGAAAGCTAACCCTAAAATTGAAAATAACTTGAAATTAATAACTTAACTCTTTATCAAATTGGTTACATAACCATACAGAGAAAAGAATTATTTCTAGTGATTCTGGAACATGTTCTTCTGGTATACATTCTTGTTGAGGTATATTCTAAAGAAAAAAGAATTGCAAATAATTTCAAACTTCACTCAATAGTTTTATTAGTAGGAGTCATATTTATATAATTTTATATATTAGGAAAGGGCAAATAAGAATGTTAATGTTAGGATCCAAACTTTTCATTGTGAGAGAAAGGAGATACATATAAAAAATTAAAGTAAAAATCCTGTGTTAAATTTGATATATTAAGACAAACTCAAGGTTTAGATTCTTTTACTTTCTCTGTTCACTGAAAAGACCTAAAAGCAACAATTTCCCAGTAGCAATGTTAACTGGGATCTATCCTTCATTCTTGTTTTTGCTGCCAGTTTTGGCAAAGCCTCATCACATGGGTGGGAAAGGACTAGGTGCCCCAGGCTAAGACGGTTTCCAGGTAAGGAAATAAGTCCATGCTTACAGCAGTTGGGGATTTTAAAGTTGTTTGCCAGGGGTGAGGTCTGTCCCAGTCCGCTTCATCATCATTTTGTAAAGGCTACATTGCTCACTAATGCTTTATGTGAAAGTGGACACTTTTGGGTAAACATAAAAGCATAAATCCTATGTCTGGATTAATGCTGGCTAGGAATATGGAATTGAGAATAGGAAATATTGAGAATTTAAATCCCTGGGAGTTAGTAAAAACTCCTGGAAGAACTTCACATTTTTTCCAAAGGCTATATAATTGGCAGTTGGTAGGATCAAAGCTGAGGTGACCAAGGGGGACAACCCAGCTTATATCTGGGTTGTAGGAGGCATAAGTATATCTGTGATATGAAGAAAGGATGGAATTAGAAAAATACTAAGGCCCAAAGAAGGCCGGAAGGATCTAGAAGGCCCAAGGAGGAGTGAAGGTTTCTACTCTTTTGTGTAAAGGGATTGTGGGTTCACCTTCCTCTTTAAGGACCCTCTCCCATGTCAAAAAACATTGTCACTGTTCCATAGCTCCATGGTGGGGACCTAGAACTCTAGTCCACAATGCATTTTCTCAGCACTCAGTTGTTTGAGGCTTCTGTGCACTTCAGATAAACTGTTTTCAGAGGCTTTCTCGGTGAGCATTGGGACACTAGTTCCATTTTAGATTTTCTCTGAGTTATGGGGTTCTTTTTTCTATTCCTCTACTATTTACAGAGGAATCAAATTTTACCAACACTTCGGAAAAACGTATACATCAGTTTGGCAAAGGAACCTTAGGACCGCCCCCGGCAGAGAGGAACTTTCTCCTCTTCCTCCTTTCCTACACCCAATTATGTTGATACAGAGAGCCACCTGAAATGGAAACTCTCGGGAAAGACTAGAATGTCCTCAAGGGGCACAGGGTAGGGGTAGGAATGGGAACTGGGGTTTATATTTGGAGCTCACAGTCCCTTTATCTGGGTGTGGTAGAGGGCTCCTGTAGAACCCTGTTAACAGCGAGTCATCTGCCACAGACTGGATGACTTAGAGAATTTGGAGTGTCTGTAGGAGGACAGAGTCCCTCAACTCTACTCATTGTCATGATTCCAACTCCGGTATCGCTGGGCCAGGACCTCCCTTTGTGTTAGGGCTGATATGGAAACCAGTGCTCCTTGCCTTTGAAAGCCTCGAATCAGATGCTGGAGCCCAAGCTCTGTCATCAGAGGCAAGTCCTATGTGGACGACCAACCATAAGCTTTCTCTTCTGGGCAATTTGTGTCCTTTATCTGAAGAGGATAGGGACTGAAAAATAGTTGAGCATGACATACAGAAAACCCTTCTCGAAACTTTTGCAGAAGGAAAAGTGGACAATATTCTATCCACTTTAACGTGACTAACAGAGAGCTCATTAATTTAGAAAATCAGATTATCCTTGAATAATGAATACTGAATGTCTGCAGCTAACCTAGAGAGAAGAGCATGAACATTTGGTTCTAGTCACTCCCCGTAGTCTCTTAAGATCAGTGCAGAGTCAAAAAGAGGAACAAAGATCTAGCACTAAAAGGCAAAGTTTTGTCTAGTCAACCTTGATCTCATCTGTCCATGAGGACATAGGTCCACAGTCTCTGAGGATGGCAGTTCCCAGAGCAAGTCCCTACTATAAAACAGAACTCTTAGAGGTGAGGCCCACATCAAGGATTCTCTGTTCTGCCATGGGTCTGGCCCGCTGGAGGGCACTTGAGATATACTGGAAACACTATGGATTTGGGAGACAGAACCCCCAGGTCCTGATTTTGCAGTCAAATGCTCTACCACCCAGGTCCTGATTTTGGACAAGCTGCCTGACTTCCCCAAGGTTCAGATTCTCCCTCTGAGGTATCATCTGGTCTTCATACCTCACAGGGTTGTTGTGAGGATCCCATGAGACGATGTCTGTGAAAGGCCTTCCTGTTATCGTCATGGGCTATTTTATCTTGCATATTAATCTTGTTGCTTTCAGAGTCTTAGGCTCCCGAGAGTCTGCCCCAAAGGATGGTTCCACTCAGCCTCCTAAAATACCACTTTGCTCCTCTCCTCGCCGCAAGTAACCCAAGCTCTTAGATTCTCAGATTGGAGAGGATGACTGAAAGAACCTGATGGAGCACAGGGCGAGCTTTTCTGGTGACCAGGAGGTGAATCTCTCTCTGCTCTTCCTGTATCCCTCTTCTTAGGATGCAGTGACAGGGCCCAGTGCAGCCTGGGATTGATATTGGCTCAGAAACCTACAGGGAAGGGAATGTGAAAGGCAGGCTTGGTGCGAGGAATGAAGGAAGCACTCTGTGGTCTAGGATGTGGGGGAGCATAGCATGTTTCCTGATGTGCCGGGCCCCTGTCCCAGCTCTCTGACTTTAGCTTATTCCTCTTGTCTTCCGCAGCCACTTGGATAAGCCCTCTGTTACAGGCAGCTTGAGGCAAGTGTTTTGTCAAGATCCCCTCTGTGAGTTGTGTGATAATAGTGGCCATGGAAGCTGATGTCCTGCTGTTTGGGGAGACTGTGGAAGATGCTGTTGCCTTAGAGCCCCACAGCTCCCACCATTCCTCTGAGGGGTCAGCTCAGTCTCTACCTTCAACCTCTCACTGACCCTCAGAAGACCTGTAACTGTCCCCTCTCTCAACCCCTATACCTCTGGTTTCCACCTTCTCCCTGGATTCTACACAGGCCCAGGTTCCAGACCATCTGCAGACTCCATAGCACTGCCTTCCAGATTCTCTGTGGACTCTCCAGAGGCATATTTCCCTCTGTTGCCTCTTTCCCTGAGTACCTTTTGGAGCCTATCTCCTCTCAGTGAACTCTTACCATCTCTTTTCCCCTTATTGTGTCTTATTGTCTCAAAACACCTACTTGTCACTTATTTTACCACTACCACTGGCTTTCCTTTTGTGAAAATTTCGGTGGAAAAGCTAATTTTCACAAAAGGTTTCTGAGCATTGTTTTGTTTAGGAACCCAGTCTTTCTTTCTATGTATGACTTGATGGGGGTTTTAGGATTCTAACACTATTGTCCATCCCCAGATCCCTTCTTGGTTGAGTCTTATCACCTAGAAAATTGTTTGATTAATTCCATGATACTTATAGCAAAGGAAGTCAGATGGCATCCGAAGGAAAGTAGGTACAAACCCAACAGACAGTGTAATTAATTGCATGTTGTAGCCTGGCCCTGGACTCGTACCGAGGAGTGACTAAGGTGAAAAACAAACAAAACAGTATTAAAGATAAAGGCCTTGGAGGTATCATGGTTAACAGACAAGAAGTGTTAACAACTTAAACCTTAACTTTGCAGAGGGGAAAGAACAAAGGAAAAGAGCAAAAGCACATGCAGATTAAAGCACCGCAATGGGTGGCTCTGGTGGATCTTGACAGAAGGTGACACTTCCTGTGGTTAGCAGTGTGGTCTCAGTAGTCTTAGGTGGAAGGTGCCACTTCCTGCTGTTCTCTGTTCTGGAATGATTCCTCAGATTTCTCTGTGTGAGGTCTCAGGACAGCCTCCCAGGGATTTCGTGTGGCTGATGCCTTTTGACTTGGGAGGCACGGGTTTACTGTTGTGTTAGCTGTTAACATTACCTGGTGAGGCCTTCTCACTGAGGATTGACTGCATTCTTTCTTTGATGTCTGACATAGTAACTCTAAAAAGTAAGGAAATTTGTGTTATTATTCAAGAGAATGACAAAGGACAGAGAGTTAACAGAATATTTTGGTGATTCAAAAGAAAACTCTTATCTAGGCACAAAATAACTTAGATCATTTTATGGAAAGAAAACACTAATTTTATTCTTTTTGTGTATTGTCTATGTTACAATTTGTAGGAAGAGATTTGGAAACCTTTTTCTGTGAATAAATCAATGTGGAATATATCCTTGAAATTGTCTTTTTGTCATTTATAGAATTAAAGTTTATTAATGTACCTCTGCATGTATATGTAGACATACATAAATATGTATTTATAATAAAGTTAATTTTAATCTTAAAATATAATTTATCTAAGGGGTACCTGGCTGGCTCAGTCAGTAGAGCGTGTGACTCTTGATCTTGGGGTTGTGAGTTTGAGCACCACGTTGCGTGTGAAAAAAATCTTTAAACATTTACACATTCTATTAATCTACAGTCCTTATATAATGCATATGAATAAGGATAACTTAAAACTATTATATATGTGTTTTTAAAAAAAATTAATGTTTATTTTTGAGAGAGAGAGACAGAGCACGAGTGGGGGAGGGGCAGAGAGAGAGACAGAATCTGAAACAGGCTCCAGGCTCTGAGGTGTCAGCACAGAGCCCAATGCAGGGCTTGAACTTGGGAATGGTGAGATCTTGACCTAGGCTGAAGTTGGATGGTTAATCGACTGAGCCCCCCAGGTGCCCCAAAAGTATTATAGATATTACATACATTAGAAAGCTTAGAAACTGTTCAGGTATCCAAATGTTTTATATCAAGTAACTCAACATTTTCTGAAGTCTTAACATTTTAGTTGTGTATATGGAAATAACAATTTTAATTAAAACATTAAATCCTTATGATTCATAGTATTATAAAGATTTTACAAGATCACAACCCTTTAAAAGACATCTGTCCTATGATTTTACTTAAACACAATTTTATATTTTGTAATCTTAAAAAGTTTGCTTCAACAATGATTCTTTTCTTGTCCCATAAAACCAACATACAAAATTTAGAAGGTTAAATCTTGAAGCTTTAATCTTAGTTTTATATTAATTAGAATACTGTCTTAGCATTAATCTTACATAATAAAACAAGGGTAATAACTTTATATAATAAAACCAAGGCAAGGGCGCCTGTGTGGCTCAGTCAATTAAGCTTCCCCTCTTGATTTTGGCTGAGGTCATGATCTCAGAGTTGTGAGACTGAGCTGGGAGTTGGGCTCTGTGCTGAGCTTAGAGCCTGCTTGGGATTCTCTCTCTCCCTCTCTGTCTGCCCTTCCCCTGCTCATTATCTCTCTCTCTCTCTCAAAATAAACATTTAAAAAAAAAAACACAAGGCAATATAGACATAGATTGTCTCTAATCAATATGATGAACTCATTCTAATTTATCCAAAACTTATTTATGAGAAAATTACAGGATACTTTGAAAAATACACTTTATTAACTTTGTATTCATGAAACAAAATTTAAGCAATCTTAAAGTCATAATTAAAAGCTCTTAATATTGAAGCTAACATCTCTCATAACTATAGTAATGAAGGCTACTATTTAAATATATTTGTCTACATTTTACAATGCAAATTACTGACATTTTTACTTTCTTTATTCTTAGACATTTTTGACTAATATGCAAAATAATGACGATTTTTTTTTTTTCTGAGCAATTGATCTTAAAAAGTTCCCAAGTGAGGGAAAAACAGAGGGACAGACCAACAACAAAGAGGGGTCTGGGTGGCTCAGTTGGTTAAAGGTCCAGCTTCTGCTCAGGTCTCCATCTTGTGGTTAGTGAGTTAGAGCCTGCATTGGGCTCCTCGATGGCAGTGTGGAACCTGCTTGGGATTCTCGTCCTCTCTCTCTCTGCCCCTCACCTGCTTTCTCTCTCTGTCTCTCTCTCAGATAAATAAATAAACTTTAAAAAAGAAGAGGTAGCTTTAGACAAATATGAAATTATCAGTGTAAAAGATCTTTTCTCTGTCAGGAGAAGGGAGAAAGTTTAGATTTAGGAAAACCTGTTTCATATAGACATAGACCCAAAGAGAAAGTCATTATAGGTTTAAACAGTAACTCAAGCCCTTGACAGTTTTGTCAAGCCATACAATTAGAAGCCATTGTTTATTAATCCCTACAGAATGAAACAGAGGGGAAATCTACATTAATCACAGTGATTTCTCTCTTTTAGATTAGTTATACAATCTCCTCCTGAGAGTTTCTGTTCCTTTTTTGCCTTAGGCATTTCTCAAATGGATATTCCTGTTCATGTCAAAGTTCCCCAAGTGGCCACTATAATTCTAATTTATCCTCAGTGAAGTTATGCCAGGTGCTAGCACAGGCTTATTAGCAGACAAGCCCATGAGAGATTTTTTGACTGTTGATCAGAGGTAAAATATCACTTGTGTTTTAAGTCCCCGGCCCTAAGGTTAGGCTGCTTCTACTTGCTGACCTGGGAAATCAGCAGCCACATGGCTCACAGAATGTGTGGAAAGATATTTCCCAAGGCTAATTACTCATACTCAGAGAAGACTGGAGAAAGTTCCTGTAGACAAACCAAAGATGGTGGCAAACATAAGGCAGAAGATGGTGTTGAAAGTCAAACTTCACTAGGGGACACTCAGGTCTGATTAGAAACCAAAAATTCTAGCATACAAATATTAAACTGGTTGTATCTTTGGTCCTCTGATATCAGAATCTAAATGCAGTGTAAAAGCACACAATCAAAGACAAAGAGACCTTCAATGTCTTGAGATTTCAAGGAGTCTCAGATATGCACACTATTACTGAGTTACGGAGACCAGTGCTTAGTCGGGAGGGTATTGACCGAGCATCAAGAAAACCTCCAAGTGTCCTATTCAGGACACCAGGAACAAAGCTGTAGTTGACAAAATCAGGTTGATTGGCTCATTGCAATGAGGGTGGTCACACACCAGAGGAACCATGGCATGTGCAACCAAGAAAGAGAAAAGTTATGATACAGTTTTGAGGAGGGGTAGCATTTAGGTGAAATTTATTTTTTAAAATGTTTGTTTATTTTTTAGAGAGAGAGAGAGAATATGAGTGGGGAGGGGCAGAGAGAGAAGAAGGCACAGAATCCAAAGCAGACTTCAGTGCCTGATGTGTGGCCCAGACTCACAGACTGTGAGACCATGACCTGAGCCAAAGTCGGATGCTTAGCGGCCATCCAGGTGCCCCTGAAATTGATATGAATTAGTATTTTGATAAGTTAGAGCAAAGAAGGGCTGTATGTAAAAGGGGCAACATCAGGTCTGGATGGTGAAATGGGACACAAGGTCTCCTTTTCTTAGAAGCTACAAATTAAGATAGATGTAGAATGGTATACCCCGAATGCCAATCTTAAATCTGTAGGTGGGTTGGATATCAAAGTAGCTGCTCTGTGTCAAAGTGAATTAGATCCTGTAGGCAACAGCAGGGTATTTTGTTCTTACTGAAATCATTTCAAAAGTAAAGTTTCTGATAAACTATGATTTTAGAAAGCAAGATTTCTTATAACAGAGTAATAGTCATGCTGAGTATCATGAGTACACTTTACAGCTGCAGTGTTTCCTTGGGAGAAATAGAATTTTCTGCTAACTTTGCAGCTGACTTTGTCTGTGTTCTGTGTCTGTTTTCCCAGCTTGATGAATGGCATGGTGGATTTTCAGTGTCCCAGACCAAACTAATTTTCACTTTCTCAACATGTAACTCAGTTTCTTGTTTTCTAGCTTGTAGAACTTGCCAGAAGGAAGCTGTGGTGGCATGGGACTTTTTCTGAAAGTGATTCGTCTCTTCCCTTCTTTTCTGTTTCCCCATTTCCTAGGATGGGCTATGCAATTTTGGAGCCCTGTGCTGCTCATGGTTGTTCCTGAAGAAGGAACCCACAGGGAACAGAATGAGAAAGCAAGCCTTGGTGTGAGGTTCATAAGAGGTGTACAGGTTTCTCCACTATCCAAAACTAGTGTGTTCCTATGAAAACTTTCATAAGCCAACGGAAAAAAAATAGCACAAAGCAAAGAAACATTACCATTAATTTCTATGGAAAAATTTTTTTGAATATCCCCCACCCCCCCACTTTGCCCCCATCAACAAACAAACAAACTGCTTAGGCTTTTCTGATACCTTAGGGCACATCTTGCTAAGGGAGGCAGGATAAATCGAGATAGAGCACAGACGCTTACAGACAAGTTCAGAGCTCTGGTGGCTGGATGCTAAGATGCTGAGTGTAGGTCCCGGGGAAGGAGCTTGGCGGGGCACTCTCACTGCCCCTGCTGCTGCTTGGGGTGCGGCTGCCTCTCTAAAGCCTCACTGTGACACAAATGCTGGATGCTATTTTCACTCTTCACCTTTTTATGGTAAAAGTAAAAATGATCTTTGGAATTCTTTCAGGTAGTGAAAACAGGTAGTAATGTAGGTCTTCCGTAAATGCAAAGTGGTGTCACAGGCACTTTGGAAAAGTGGGGGCAAGTACCTATATCACGGGTGTAGGATTTCTAATGGGCAGGGGCAGTATGCCTTGGGGGCCCTTACCTTCTCCAGACCCTCTCGGTCCTATTCTGTGGAAATAACTACTGGTTCTGGACCTGAGCAAGGAGGGTTGGGGAGGCATCCGTGTGGAGGGTGACCTTCTCTTGTTAGCAGGCCGGTGAAGGATGCTGCTGTCAGTGTCCCCTGTGTTCCTTCAGTGCCTCTGCCTGAGTCCTCTTTAACTCTTTTAGCAGACCTTTCAGAAAAACCATTACCAGCCCTTTAGGCTGAGCCCGTTCACTTTTTTTTGTTTAAACATTTAAAAAATTTTTATTATTTTTTTTGAGAGATAGAGAATCAGAGTGTGAGCAGGGGTGGGGCAGAGAGGAGACACAGAATCCGAAGCAGGCTCCAGGATCTGAGCTGTCAGCAGAGCCTGACATGGGACTCAAACCCACAAGCGGTGAGATCATGACCTGAACCGAAGTCAGATGCCTAACCGACTGAGCCATCCAGGCACCCCTGAGCCCATTCACTTCTGACGTCTTTGTCAGCCTCGCTTCCCAGGACCCTGCAGAGTCCCGTCAACCCTTGGATGTCCCTAGCTCGTGTCTGACTCCGCTTCCACAGAGCCTGTTTCCTTCTCTCTCTGTTCTGCCCTTCACAGTGGGCCCCACTCCCTCATCCCTGCTTTCCCCCTGTTACTGACGCTACAGGCTCTCCCATATTCTCACTCCTCTCTTTTACCACTCTGATGATGGCTTTATCTCTTCTGCCTGGGAATCCTTCTTGCCTTGGTCTTGCCTGATCTTTCACTATCCTTCCTTGGTCCCCACAACCAGCTTCCTCATCCCCCCCCCCCCCCCCCCCGCAAGGTCCCTCTGCTTCCATTCACTCCCAGGCCCCCTTATTCAGCCTCATCACTGGGCACCAGATCCCTTTTTGCTTCTGGAGCTACAGTCGTAACAGATCATCTTCTACTCCCATCATTTGCCCTTTCTCCTCTCCTCTGGAACACACTCAGATATTAGATCCTCTTAAACAACCAGATCCCACCTCTTCATATGATGCTATCCTCTTTGTGAGGACCTCGGCTTCTCATTTCTCACCAATACCTAATTCATTCACCCCATGAATACCACTGATTCACTTGGCTGTCAGCCGCCTCCAGCAGATGTCTCTACCCCACCATTGCCGGACTCGACTCTAACAGTGTTTGTTTTGGGCTTGATTTCAGGCTTAGTGAACACTGTCCCAGAGAGCGCTTCTTCAGAAAAAGCCCCTTCTCTCTGGCCTCTTCTGTTGCAACAACTCAAGCACTGACTGCTCAAAACACTTGCCCATTTCAACCTTCTGGTGGCAGGTGTCTGCTGAGGACTTGTTTCTCCTACCTTCTCGTACTGTGATGTCCAGCAGGAGACATCTCTCTTTGCCCATCAGGTTGTATCTCTGGGGAGATCCTCTAGCCAGATATGTGGATGCAGGTAGACATGCTTTCCTCAGCTCTACTATCCAGAAACCCCTGGAGGTACAAGTCACAGAGTGCAGATTTCCAGATTTGGGAGTAGAAAAAAGAGGGGATCATTTCTTAAAAAATTTTTTAAAATGTTTATTTATTTTTGAGAGAGAGACAGAGCATGAGCAGGGGAGGGGCAGAGAGAGGGAGACACAGGATCTGAAGCAGGCTCCAGGCACCACGCTATCAGCACAGATGGGCTCAAACTCAGGAGCTCTGAGATTATGACCAGAGCCGAAGTAGGACACTTAACCGACGGACACACCCAGGTGCCCCTTTCTTGAAGAGGGGATCATTTCTAAAACAGAGGGCATATTACCAACTCCATTGTTCTGTGATTCCCTTAGCATCACTTGCTGTCCCACAGCCCTCTTTGACTCTTCTGGATATATGAAGGTGAACTAGACAAATTGCACAGTCTGTAGGAGCTTACAAATCCCCAAACCTTCAGAGACTCTGCAGCAGAAATGTAGCTAGCTCTTCGGAGGTCCATACTCTGTACAGCAAGTCGCTGCTTGCTACCCTCCTGTCCTTTGACTGTTGTCCCTCACCACTTTCTCTTTCTCTTATTCAATCTCTAATGCCCTCCTCCTGCAATCCAAATTCAGATAACCAATCCCTAGACCCTTTCCCCACCTTAAAGTCTAGCCCCAGCCCTTGGGGGAAAGTTCTAGAGAGGAAGAACTTACCAAAGCGGGAGGGGACCTTCTCTAAGTTGAGTTTCCACTTTAGAAATATGATGATGGAGATCAATTTAGGAATGAATTGGAATTCTTTCAAGGATTAAACAGTTGAGGGAGATAGTCAAGGTCAAAGCATCCCCAGCTCTGGAGACGCATGGGTCAGTAGAAGCCCTGTGGCCATAAGCTTCAGGCCCCAAGGAAAAAGCGGAAAAAGAATGTAGCCCCAAACGCTGAGAGGGCCTTGGGAGATCCAAAGCATACATGCATCAATGAAGGGAGGTAAGACTGGGGACATACCAATCCGAGCAGTGACTCTCCCAGCCCAGGGACTTAGGTCTAATGAACAAGACCCGTAGTTTTTGACCCGGTACAAAGTACAAAACATCACTTGGGAACAAAGGAGGGGATGTTTGTTTCGTGGCTTTGTCCTAGGACACAAGTTAAGGGCAAGTAGATCGCTTCCAAAAACTCCATCACCTGTGCATTGTCCACATCCAAGTTGAAACCAGAGGAGTTTGGGTAAAGTATCATAGTCATTGCTCCAAGCATTTGGGACACATCAGCGAGAAAAACAAAACTCCCTGTCCTTGTCGAGTTTACATCATCGGTCCTTCGAGTCAGCTTCCTCTCAAACGGCTCAAAACTCTGTTAAACCTCCTTCTTTTCCCTCAAGCTTCTGCCCCTCCCACCTCCTCAACACATTTACTGTGTCCTGAAAGGTACCAGGAGCCTTTCGTTATCAGATCTTCTAAACGGTTGCATCCCACCCTCCTTCCCTCACTGCTGTGTGAAGGGGTCCTTCCGCGACGCCTTCCTGGACTCTCCCAAGGAGGGACGGGTGCCCTCACTTTCGTCATCACAACTCTTGTTACACTGTGTTGCAATTTTCGGCGACCGTCCAGCTTCTCCGAGCTTCCTTGAGGGGCCTTCGCTCTCCCTCACTGCTGGCCTGGGGTGTCACACCAAGTTAACGGTCAATAACCGCGTGAGGAAATTAACGAGGGCGATTGGAGGAAGTCGCTGGGGGGCGGGGCTGCGGCCCGGGGCGGGGCCACGTCGGGGGCGGGCCCGCATTTGGGCGGGGCCACGTTAGGGCCGGCTGCAGTCTGGAGCAGGGCCTGCTTGGGACGCGCTTTACGCTTTCAGGTGGTGGTCGGCCCAGCTTCTCCTCAGGACGTTGACTCGGGAAGGAAGAGCTGGGGCTTCCCCCTCACAGACGGGGTGACGATGGGGCCTTTCCCCCTGCCTGCGCGGCTTCACCAGCAGTCCTTCACCTCAGCCCGCAGGGCATCACAGTGGGGCGGCACCGGCCCGGGTCCGCCTCCGAAGGCCCGGAGAGGCCTCAAGAGGCCCTGAGCACCAGCCTCCCTCCCTGTGGGAGCTCGGCGCAGGTTACCTTCATCATCCTCGCCGACCGCTGCCCGTCGAGGCCGCACCCCGCCCTGGCTGCCCGGCAGGCCCTGGGCCCGGGTCCCCCGGGTCGTGGAGCGCTACGCACACCTGCCTAGTGAGGCCGCCGCGGGAGTGGAAGAAGTGGAAGGGGCCGGGGAGCCTCTGGTCAGCGCCGGGTTCGGGCTGGCGGGAGGCTGTGCTGCAGCTGCCGCGGGGGCTGGGCCAGGCCCGCGGCTCACGCTCCCCCACGATCAGTCTCCCCCGAGGGCGCCCGGCCCCGCTGGGAACTGTTTTCTGGGAAGCTGCCGGGAAGGCCCGGAAGGCCAGGCGACGGCTCCTGAGAGCGCCCAGGTCAAGGCCGTCAGCGCAGCGTGAGCGTCGCGGCACGAGGTGACCCCTGAGGGGCAGACAGCGAAGCCCGTGCAGACTCCGCCACTCCGCGGCCGCCGGCACAGCGCGGACCTGCCTTCGCGACTCAGGTACGCTTCTGGTACAGCCTTGCTTCGGTGGCGGGGTCTCCGAGTGTGATGGTCGTCGCCAGAGGTGGAAATGCTGCGTTTCTTCTTTTGGACAGGCTTTCTTGTGTGAGCGTCTCTAGCAAGCTGGCAAAAAACAGACGACCCGGTAGTGGTAGTACTCCTAGGCTCCACCCCAAACATTGAACGCTAACACTTCGGTGTATTTCTTTCCAGACTTTGCTATGCGTGTTTTTAGTGTTTAGTATACATAAATTATTTGTGAAAGGTGGGGAAGCACTTAACATTTTATCATAAGCAACTTCGGCATTATTATATACTCTTCGTAAACACCATTTTTTATATGTTCCATATTAGCTTAGCCATTCTGTTTCTTCTTTGATATTCGGAACTGTCTTACTACAAAAAACATCACAGAGTTTTCTCCGAATTTAAGATGATTTTCTTTCTTCTTTTTTTTTAATGTTTGTTTATTTTTGAGGGGGGGAGAGAGAGAGAGAGAGAGACAGAGACAGAGAGAGAGAGAGAGAGAGAGAGAGAGAGAGAATCTGAAGCAGGCTCCAGGCTCTGAGCTGTCAGCACGGAGTCCAGTGTAGGTATTGAGCTCATGAACTCTGGGATCATGACCTGAGCCCAAGTCGGTCACTCAGCCGGATTGAGCCACGCAGGTGCCCTGTGAATTTCAGATGATTTTCTAATCCAGGGTTCTATCCTTGAGTCATTTCTCTTCTTTTCTTATGGTCTCCTTAGGTGAGATATCCACCCATCGTAAATTATTTCAAGGCTGACTTTTCCCTTTTGCTTCAAATTTATCCATCCCCATGTTTGCTAAACATTCCCAATCTTGGTTCCCACAGATACTCCAAACCTAAAATCTGTAAATTTACCTTCTCATCTTCCTCTGCCATCACCCCTCTTGCTTTCCTAGCCCCAGTATCAGTTGGTAACACCTGGTCACCAAGCCAGAAACAGGTGTGAGCCTTTCTTTCTATGCGCCTCCTCCTTCACTCTTCCCATGATTTGTCACCAATATTTAGCAACAGTCTGCTAAATATTTCTCAGATTTTAATCTCCTCTCAGTTCCTACTCCCCCCCAGTAGTTCAGGCCCTCATCATCTCTCACCAAACTATATAATAGCCTTTTAGCTAATCTGTTTTGAACTAATCCTCTGTTTGCTGAGGGTTCTTTTGTTACTCTCTCCTCTGCATTTTTTTATTCTAGTAATAAATGCCTGTTTTGTTCAGTGCCTCCACATCTTTACTCATTATGATTTTTCTATTTAGAGTGCCTTAGGCAGATAAAGACTAGAATTCTCACCGTTTACTACAGTAGATCATGAGCTTTATTTTTTTTTCAAGGAATTTGTCTATTTCATCCAAGTTGTTGAATTTATTGTCATAGTTCATTTTTTCTTTTAATTTCCTTATTTTTCTGGTAATGTTCCTTATTTCATTTTTGATATTGGTAATTGCATCTTTTGTGATCAGTTCTGACTAGAGGTTTATTGTCTTTTTTTTTTTTTTTGCAGAGAAACAGCTTTTGGTTTCTTTGATTTTATTTTCTGTGTTTTATTTGATTTCTGCTCATATTTTTATTTTGTTCTTCCTTGTTTGCTTCCTTCTCTTTCCTTTTCTAGTTTCTTAAGATAATACTTGTTAGATCATTAATTTGAGACCATTCTTCCCTTCTTAATATAATTTTTTAAATTTATAGTAACACAGAAGATGAAGTTCAAAGCTGGATTATTTAGACTTTTCCCTTGTTATCTCCTCTTAGTTCAGAATGCTTGCATCTCCTAAAAGCCAGCCTTCTTTTAGATCTGTAGTTGGGCTCAATGCATTCTAGCCGCAGTATAATCTTCTTTGTAGTGTTAACCTTTGTTTTTGGAAAATTGGCTTAGTCTGCTTACCATGGTCACTCTGCCTCCTGTCCTAGCACAGTGGCTTCCCCTGGACACACGAAAATCCTTGTTTCTTGTACTGTGTTATTTTGTTGGCATCTGCCACACTTCTTAGAGAAGGTCTGGTGGGTTTTAGGAATGTTCACTTTAATGTTTGCATGGCTGCTTTCATTATACACTTTTAAATGTTACGAATTTCACTGTATATACCGACTTACCTGTATTCCATACATTTTGATATGTTGTTTTCATTTTCACTTTAAATTATTGTTTAAGTTTCATTTTTAAAGTTTATTTATTTATTTTTGAGAGAGAGAGTGAGTGCAAGAATGTGAGCATGCTAGCCGGCGTGAGTTAGAGAGAAAGCAAGAGCGAGAATCTCAAGCAGGCTCCATGCTGTTAGCACGAAGTCCGTCACAGAGCTTGAGCCCACGAACTGTGAGATCGTGACCTGAGCTGAAATCAAGAGTCAGACACTGAACTGACTGAGCCACCCAGGCGCCCTTATTTTTTTAATTTCTTATTTGGCTTTTTCTTTGAGTTATTTAGAAGTATGTATTTAATTTTCAAATATGGGGACTTTTCCAAATATCTTTCTATTTTGATTTCTCATTTAATTCTATTACGGTGAGAAGATGCTTTGTATAATTTCAGTATTTGAACTTAGGTTTGTTTTATGAACAGAGTATGTTCTATCTTGGTTACTGTTTCATGTGTACTTAGAAAGAATATGTATTCTGTTTGTTGGATAGAGTTCTCAGTACATATTAGGTCAAGTTAATTTATAGTGTTTTTCATGTCTTCTGCTTCTTTAATTTTCTTCTCACTCCCTTTATCACTGAGGGAGGATTGCTCAAGTGTCCTGCTTTAGCGGTGGAGTGGTCTTTGGCCCCTCTGGGCCCCGGCAGGTTTTGCTTCATGGAAACAGAAGCTCCACGATTTAGACACAATATTTAGGATTCTTATGTCTTGCTGGTGAATTGTATCCTTTATTATTATGTAGTGACACTCTCTATCTGTGGTGATACTTCTGTTCTGAAGTCCATTGTGTCTGATCTTCACAAAGGCACCCCAGCTTTCTTGGGATTAGTGTTTGCATGGTATATCTTTTTGCCTCTTTTAGATTTTTAACCGAGTTATGCCTTCATCTTGCAGGTAAGTTTCTTGTACACAGTGTATCATGGTATCCTGCTTTCTTATCCAATCTTTACAATCTCTGTCTTTTAATTGGAGTGAGTAGAGCATTAAACATTGCTGTTCTCGATATGGTTATATTTATTTATTTAAAATTTTTTTAAGGTTTTTTAAACGTTTATAATTTTGAGAGAGACGAGAGTGGGGGAGGGGTGGAGAGAGGGAGTGAGAGAGAATCCCAAGCAGGCTCTGCACTCGGAGCTCCACATGGGGCTCTAACTCAAGATGGTGAGATCATGACCTGAGCCACAATCAAGAGTTGACACTTAACTGATGGAGCCACCCAGGTGCCCCGTTATGGTTATATTAAGATCTATCTTTTCAACTGTTTACTTTTTGTTCCATTTGTTCTTTGTTCCTTTCCCCACCTTCTCCAACTTGCTTTTGGATTATTTATGATTCTGTTTTCACTTAACTCTTGTTAAACCTCTTTTTATAATTTTTTTGTAGTGCATGTCACAGATTTAAAATATTCATCTTTAATTTACACGCTTTAAAATAGCCATCTTCAAAAAAAACAGTCATCTTCAAATAATATTATACCACTTCAGGTATGGTGTAAGAACTTGACAGTAAGATATTTTTCCTTTCCCCCATCCTTTGTGCTATTTTCATATACTTAGGGGCTTTATTATTTCAAATTAATTTTAATTTAAGCAATATAAGTAATTTAATATAAGATTATTTTGAGTGAAAATATTAAAACATTTCACAATCCAAAGTCCCCTTGACCATCCCTTCCTTGGAGGTAAACAGTGTTATCAGTTTGTTATAGATTGTTCTAACCTTTTCTATGCCTATACTGTGTGTGTGTGTGTGTGTGTGTGTAAAATATGTATATATATATACACATATGTAATGTATACACACATCTATAAAAATACACATATATAAATATGTATACATATGTAAAAAATATTA